TGGCACTGAAATAACATGCGAGCTAAAGAAGCTTTGGCAAACCTGGAGCCTGCCTGTGGGCTCTTTGTGTGGTGGGCTAGAGCAGTTTGCTCACAGCCTGGATGTGGTATGTTTTTCTATTTTAAAGTTTGTTTTCTCCCTTCAGCCAGTGGATTTCCCAGTGGTATCATACCAGATGCTGCATCACTGTGCTTCTCCTTGCTGAGGGCAGTGATGCAGTGAGTTTTTAACTCCTGAACTGTTCTGGGGGCTGAAATGCAATGTGCAAACGTGCTTCCATTGAGCACATGGACTCCAGCACTCTGATTATGAACACTGTTTGGTCTTCTTTAAGAGGAGAGGGATGTAGAACCACTATCTCCTATCAACAGTGAATTTCTTTGATTACTCACTCGTTCCCAAGATGAATATATAGGAATTCCTGTGACACATTTTGATTCATTCCTATAACGAATTCAAGCTCACTCTTGAGCCATTCATTAAGCTGCTCCCCACTTATATAACAGAAATGGTCAAATAGAGTGTGCAGTGTCATTTTTTTTACTATAGGATCACAAATTTTGTAAACAGGTTTCCTGCATCACTTGCTTTTCAGTGGTAATCCACGGGCAGATAACTGCTCATATCAAAAATTGTGATGGTTCCAGAAATAAGGAACACTTATTTACACATCCAGAAATAAGGAGCCGCCAGGCTGTCATCCAAATACTTACAATTAATAAATAATGTGAATCCATGAAATGGAGTGTGAAAAGTATCACTGATTGGGGAAAAGCACTCATTTTTTAGAGTTTAAATGGAGGAACCAGAGCTGCAAAAATGGTCAGGTCTAGGGAAAGCAGTACAGCTCTATTCCAAGGACAAGGTGGAGAAGATACTCTCCATACGGGCAAGATGGGAGCTTTGGGGTTGCACTGTTTCTCCCAGCAGTCTATCCACTGTGATGGGTCCACCTGGATGAAGACTGCCTGATCAGCTATTTCTTTTCAAACTTAAATTTAGGTACCACTACAAGCAATGCTGGGGACTGTCATCAACCTGGTCCTTCTCTCCTCCAGCCAAATGGTCTGCAGGACATGGTGGGCATTGAGGAACGGCAGCTGTGGGAAATGGCCCACAGTGAAATGAAGAGATGTGGATTTGCTAAGAGAACAGCTGCTGTTCAGTTACACGAGTGTGGTTAAGCTGCACAGAACAGCTCTCATAGCATGAGGCCTTGGCAGCAGCAGAGCCAGGATTAAAACCTGTGGTCAGTGCACTCTTCCCAGCAGCAAGTCACTGGACCCAGGCCCACCTGAGTTCAGAAACAGGCCCTGACTCCCCAGTAGGTCTAAGAAGAGTGGTTTTGAGCCTTTAAGCAAGCGCCAAGGAACAGCACATGGCATGGCCTGACCCTTTGAGATCTGCGTGTGGTGCCCACCAACCACACCAGTCTTGGTTTTGACTTCCATCACTTCCAGAGGAGAAGTGAAATTCATCTCTTTGGCATGCTAACGAACTCTGTGCATCTGTTTTGCTCTTGAAGCGTTGATCTTAGCTCTGAACAGCCAAGGCATCTCTTCAGCCAGGAGCTCTTTTTGTAATAACAGCCTTTAAAATATGTAAATCTATTTTCAAAGCAAAATAAAAAACTCAAATGTTCATGTATCTCTAGGAAGGAAGAAAGGGGCCCTGTCCTAATATTTTATGCAAATCTTGCTTTTGCTCTTGTACTTGGGCATGAATAAATATCAATGACTGCTTCAAAATGAGGGGAAAAAAACTCCATCCTTCATCAAAAGAAAAAAACCTTTATTTCTATTGCATAAATAATGGTAAAATTAAAATCTTTTTATACAGATTATATATTTACAGTAGTGTTTGGTTAGAGGAAACAGCCGATACATATGGCATTCGGTTTTCCTTTTATACACGTCTTTATACACTTGGGTAACTTGCAATAACATAGGATTTATTTAAGTTGCATGCCAAGTTAATTTATATTAATATTTACAGTGTTTTGTACAAAGTGATTTCTATTTTTTTTCTTTTTTCACTATTATGCTGCTGACTTTGTGAGTTGTTGTCTTTAATCAAAATGCCATGTCTTCTGTTAACAAGCAGAAATGGTCAGTTTTCAACAATGGATGGCTTGAAACCAGTGAGAAACGAAACGATGACAAGAAGGAGACGAATGCATTAATGAAGCACTTCCTAGAGATGAATCAGGAGTTATCGATTACTTAGATCCTAGCATGGATTAAATGGCAACAGGCTGGATTCTGGGCTTATCCCAGTTTAAGCCAATTAACTCTAATGAGTTACTTCTCATTTTCTCTGGAGTCCGAGAGGAACTTCAGCTTTTTTCCTCCCACCACCCCAATTAAAATCTGAGAGAACAAGAGCTGCTGCATGAAGCTGAAGTAACTTTGGCTCTTCTGACAGAGATGGTGGGAAACGTAATGCTATTCTTGGGCTGGGGGAATGTGCCTTTATTTGAAGATTGCTGTCAAATGGCAACCCCAGGGACTGATGCTGCAAACACATTGGCAGCACGGTTTGGGTTTGGTGGGACTGCTCACAGGACAGACAAGACATGCCTAAGTGCTGGCAAGACCAGAGGGGTAGCTAGCTCAACAGCTTCAAATGGGACAGCCAAATGTCTACTTGCTGGCCAATGGAGATAGAAGACCAGCTGGTAACGGAAAGTTGCAGTTTGGAGCTCACCTAACACACTGTACAATGAGCAAAGGTTGAAGATGCTTATTTGTGATGCTGGCAAAGACTGGCCATGAGAATCTGTACGAAATAACTGGATGGAAAATGGAAGTTTCATTTAATAATGCTCTTCAAGGCTACAAAGTTATTTTGGTCTGTCTTGACAGAAAATACAAATCCTAAGGTATTTTCATCATCAGATTGTCAAGAGCTGATCGTTAGATTCAAAGGATATATATATATTTTTTTCCTTTTTCCTCTCTTTTCCTCCTTTTTAGGGCTGAAATTCCTTACTAGTGAAGATATCAAATTGAGACATTTTTCAGACTTGTGCCACTGGAGAGATAGTAGTAAAGTATTCTTCCAATTAAAGTGTTGTTGTCAGATTTTCTGTCCATCTTGCTTTTGGTGAAGCTCTGCATTTTGTAGAGCTGCCTAAATCATCCTACTTGAACTGGAGATAAGCAAGATTATTTCTTGATAGCAACCAACAATACTGAAAGATTAAAGTGTTTTGAGTCTTTTCTTTTTCTGTATTAAATTCCTTAGTTCCTGGGAAAGTAATAGGTTCTAAGTGATGCCAAGGAAATGTAATTGCACTGTCAGAACTCGATACAGTAAAATAATAGATTGAAAATCAGCAAGTTCTGTACATCTTCATCTATGGAATGTAAGCATGATTCAGAGCCAAGATAAAAGATACTTTATCAGATTCTCATTTTAGAAGAGTTGGTTTTTCTTCTTTCAAACAGTCATCCATAAAGCAGAAACTAAATAATTTATTACACGGGTGGGTAAAATAGGGAACTTCATTCTTAGTGATCTTAATATATTCCTCCTACTGCTTCTCTCTTTGCAGATCTAAGTCTGACTCGGGACTGTGAACCTCTTGCTTTTGTGTGATGACAGCCCTTGGCAGAGCTATTTGCTTGTGCACGTGTGTGCTACGTGCAGGATAAGAGAGTCTTTCATGGAAAAAGTTTCTGTGTACCGGGCACCTCACAAAGCATTGTGTCATCCCAAGCAAAGCCAGCACTAAACCTTGGATGGCCTTGGACAGTCCTCTGAGTGTCCCAGGAGATGTTTTGGTCTTTTGCAGCAGGTAGAAAGATAAGTGTTCTTTCCATAGAATAAAGTGCTTGCCAGTAGGTACTTTGCTCATCCAAATCTGTCAAAAAGACTTCATCCATCTCAAGTAGCACCATTAGGAATGCTTTTTATCTGTTCTTGATTCACTTCCCCACTATTCTATGTCTTACGGGGGAAGGACCAAAAAACCTCCTCATTTACTTGGTCTCAGCTTAAAACAGCACATACGTACATATCTATTCTATCACAGAGCTGATGGAAATCTCTGTTGTGAAGCTACTAGCATCCAGCCCTACTGGTTAACCATATCCAAAGTGAGCTCCCAACAAACACCAAACATCGTGTATGAAACCTCTGGGCACACGATGCCCTAACATTCAGCTCTAACTTCCCTGGGTGCAGGTCTCCCATCTCCCACCCCTTCTGCTCCTTGGCCTGAGGAGTTTGTGAGCCCATCAGCATGGGGTGCCCAAAACAGTCACAGGCACATTTGTGAAGTGGGAAAAATAATGATTTTTTCCTCATTAACTTCTCCAGAAGCAGATGCCTCGTGTCGCCTTCAAAGCCACAAATGGCTAACAGCAAAGAAGCGCTGTGCTGGGCAGAAGCAATAAGCCACGTTCCACCCAATGGGGATTGGTCCCTTCATGGAGGACCTGCCCAACAAGCACAGGACAGCTTGTGTTGAGCAATGCTTGCACTGCCTTAATTTCATTTGCTCCCAAGCCAAACCAAATCAAAGCCTCTCTCAAGCTAGAACAATCACAGCCACTTCAAATCATTCCCTGCATGCCAATCTGTTTAATTACACACCTTTTATTCATTTTTATTTTTTTACGGCTAAGCCAATGGAGTTGCCTTTGGGGTGCTCAGAGTTTGTTGATAATTTGCTCATCTTTGAGCTGAAAGGCTGTCCTGGGCTGTTGGGAGTCGTTTGTCCAGCCTTGGCTTGGCTGGGAGTGCATCTGCAATTGCTGCGTGTTGCTCCGACTTTGTGGCACACATGTCACGAACAGTGAGGGTTGCCATAGCAATATCCTTTTCATACAGAATTGCAGTGCTGAAAAGACACTTAAATTCTCATGTAACTGGCAAGAGCATAAGTTTAGTGCTTTTTCTGACAGCTCTACCTAGCGCTGCTGCAGTCTGGGTATTTTTTAAAGTATGTTAATTAGCACTTAAATAGGTTTTTTTTTTCTTTCTTCTTCTTCTTCTTCTTCTTCTTTTTTTTTTTTTTAAAGTAGGGGATGTGGGTTTTTTATTTTTATTTCTTTATTCTTTTACTTTCTTCCTCCTAAACCTTTGCCATCAGGTTCCAATCAAAATTTTATCGCTCTATTTTTACCTACTGTCTGTAAAAGCAATAAAAAGTCCTTTTTTCCCCCCCGCTTATGAAGGAGGAAAAAGAAAAAAAAAAAGATAAATGGATGTTATATAAATGGAACCAGGGAGATAAGTAGGAGACAAAGGTTCAGTGCTGCTGGCTAGAAAGGATGGGAAAGCGTCACTGGAAGTTGCTTGGGAGAGGAAGGGTTGAAATGGTGTGGCCTGATCCATCCTACATTGCCACTAGCTACTTGATGAGCCCAACTAATGAAAGAAGGAATAGCTTCAGGATGCTTTAGATGAAGAAAGGCTGGTCTAGGAAGGAAAAGGAGACCTCTGCAAAGACATGGCACTCATTCATAGTGGATACATTGGGTTCCCCACAGAAAAAAAGTAAAACTAAAAATCCCCAAATCCCGTACCCAGTAAAATCAGTGGGGAGTTTTGCAATGAACTCTACTGACCCCAGGCTATGGCTTTTACCAATATATTAATTATAGGTTTGGTTTTACAAATGGATGTTCAAGGTGAAGAACTGTGCTGAACAATGACTGTATTTACAAAAGTTTTCATGAAACATGCGTGTAGAAATTACAGAGCCTTCCAGAAATCTTGAAGGAATGGAAAAGATTATCTTGTCTGTAAGGTAGCTGTTATAATTGGAGTCTGCCTGGTGTTAGCTGTCGGATGAGTGAGAAGAATGTGGAGAAATGCCTGCTCTACGTGTTTTCTTTGGAGCTGCTGAGTTGAGAGGGGCTGGTGGGTTGGTGCCCACCTCAGCTCCAGCTCCATCTGCTCTGCTTCCCACGTTCACTCCAGCACTGTCCCAGAGGAAAACAAACAAACAAAAAATAAACACCAAAAAAGAAAAAGAAAAAAAAAAAGGTAGTAAGTACCACTCAGTGGCAATGTTTGGGCTTCTTTTTTGCTGTTCCCACCTTTAATACGCCCCTGAGACCTGAAAACATGGATGACAGTCCCCTCAAAAGGACCTCCAAGATCCTTTTTTGCAACGTCCAACATAGCAAGCTTTGGGAGCAACCCTGAGTTCCCCATCAGTGTGAATCCTGCGCTCAGAGCTTGCCTATCATTTTCTGCTGTTGGTTTGAAGTCTGGTCCTGCCCTACAGCAAACACAAATCCCTCCATCTTCTGTGAGATGTAACGATTTCTGCACAGTATTTTGTAGCTGACCTCTATTAGTCACAGCAGAACAGAAATACAGAAATGTGTGTTTGTGAAAGGCAGAAAAACGACTCAGCTGCCTTGGAAATGACAGCTGTCATCTTTGGAGATGGAGGGGGGCACCAAGAAAACAGCAGCGTTGTGAAGGTGATAAATAGCAACACGCGCCTAAAGGCAAAATCCTAAACAGATACATGAGATCTAAGGGGAAGTGGGAGACAGAAAAATGGGAAGTACATTTTCACATCAGGTTACTGGAAAAATACAGGTTAAATGAACTAGTAACCAAGAACAAAGAGCAGAAATGAGTCTTTGGGATGGATCCAGGCTTGAGACAATGGCCACCATGTAGGACAAGTGAAGCTCACGGTCCACATTCCCTTTGGGAGCCATCCTGCACCTTCTCAAGACACAGGAAACAGTCCTCTACATTCACAGGAGTGAGATCTCGCTGTTCCATCATGTTTCTGGAGCTCATCCAGCTGGCAGCAGAAACCACCGCCGCTCCAACCCCGCACCAATGCTCCCCGTGCACCAAATGCAGCCATCACCCATCAGGGCGAGGGAACCAGATCCCTCCTGGAGTAATACACAGGTGTACAGTTCATCTGAAGGTAAATGCAAAGATTTGTGTAGGGTTTAAAAGCAGAAATGCTTTCAGATGTAATCCTGGCTCCATGGGACACGTTGTGCCTCTGGTCTGCATCATTCCATCCTCTCCTTGCTGCTCATTAAAATCTCTTCCAGGAAAAATAACTAACACTTGTGGGATCTGAAAGTCTGACACACTACGGAACATATGGCGGTATGCTCGAGTTTGATTCCTTCTTTTCTTGCAGCAGCCTGATTTTCTGATCACCTTCTTTCAGCCTGTCCGTGGGATATGCAGTGGTGATGACGGTGGGACTGTGAGGGATGGAGTGACTTGCTGGTCAAATCACCTCACCATAGAGGTGAAAATGTAACCTCTTCCATGAGTAGGTGTTGGATGCAGAGGTTTCACTGCGATTGCAACAATGAATTAAGTAAAAATTGGGCAGTCGAAGAGCAGGGAGAAAAGCTCAGAGCTTTCTCAGTGGTTTTTGTCTCAATAAGGTTATTGAAGACTGTTACAGCAGAAGGGCAAAACTACTGGAAAGAAAACGTTGAATATGCAGATGGCACCAAACAGAGGGATTTTCAACTGGCGCTGGTGGTTGCAGAGCTGGCTGGAAGACTGCACGAATCTCAGGAATGCCCATGTGGGGAAGTGGGTGGTGGTTCTTAAGCCCTGATTCTCGGTGGGAAAAAATGGCAAACAGACTCCTGCTACCCCACAGTCTTGTGTCAAAGGCGACGTTTGTGAAGCAAAAATAGAAATTCTGTATGATGCTGGCGAATTCTCCTCTTCTTTACTCCGAAAATACTGTACAAGGATGCTCTAGCTCCCCTCTAATGCCGTAAACTCAAAGGCATGGTCATAAGGGAAAAACAACGTGAAGCCAAAGTACGTGAAACAAAACGAACAGGACTTGCTTGTGGCAATGCTACGACCAACTTCCTGGGAAGGTGGGCCTGCCGGGGAGCTATGCGGCACAGTCAGTCGGCCCCTAGGTTAAAAGACAGCCCCGCTGCAGCGAGTCACAGGGCTGTGCCTCCTTACAACTGCAAAGCAGACTGCTGCATGAAAGCGTCTTCCAAGTTACCGTTGCTGTTCTGAAGCAATAATTCGGGACTTCCGTATGTTTATTTTTTTATTTTTATTGCATTAGGAAACAAAAAACCTTTAAAGCGTTAAGACAGCCCTTTTATGTCCCTGCCAAAAGGATGTGGTTGATTCACAAGACACGTTACGCTGCTGGCCCCAGGCTCCTTGTCGAATGGTGCGTTATCTGCCCGCCTCTGTCTCTTTGCCGTGTGAGAGTCGGTTCGGGGGAAGCTCACCCGGTGGCATGCGCATGCATGGTCAGTTTGGGTCACAGTGTCATGGTGAGAGGCTACTCCATGCCGCTCCGCAGGATCTGGTTGGCCGCAATCAGCATCACGCTTATAATAAAGGCCATGGCAAATGCGCAGATAAGGCTCTTCCGGACGCAGGTCTGTCTGTTCTGCTTCTGGGCGTGCACTGCAGAAAGACAAGGGAAGGTTGAGCTACTTGGACAAAGAAACATCTCTGCCACGAGCAGCTGAGCTCAGAAATTCTTCTTAACTCTACGTGCACACAGCCCTGCCCACACCTTGAACCTACCCTGGGAAGGGAACACACCCTATGCTGGCCAAGTCCTACCTCTCTTTGAAGACCAGCGGAGACCATTAGAGGGTGAGTACTTTGGGGACAACTCCAAACAGTGAACCTTACCTCTGGTCTGGGCAGCCTGGTCTGGTGGTTGGTGACCCTGCACATAGCAGAGGGGTTGAAACTTTGATGATCTTTGAGGTCCTTTTCAACCCAGGCCATTCTATGATTCTATGATTCTACTTCCAAGATGAACTTCTAAGATGAACTACTTCCAAAGCAGTTTTCCTACCAGACCACCTCTCATACTGCAGGAAGCCCCTTCTCACACACATTGGCTTTAAAACCCTTTAGATGCTTGAAAATTTAAGTGTTTCAGTTTGATCTGAATAGCTCCTTCTAAGCTCCTTGAAGTTCTCTATGCGTTCATTTTATCATTTTATCAGAAATACTGGTCCTTGCAAATTCCCTTAGGTTTTTCCGCTTATAGGTCAACTGGGAGTGAGTAGAGATTCAAGATGTGCTCCCAACAACTCTCAAAAAACCCACTGTGATCACTCCCATGAATATACATAGCACATTGGTCTATTTTTTTTTAACTGTTTTTAGGTTTTCAGTGCCTAAGCAAAATCAGACTTATTAAGAACCCTTTGAAACAAATGCCTGCAGAACAGTTGTCAAAGGAGGTGAGGGTAATTTGCAGCAGTTAAAATGCAGTCAGAGCTAGGATTTTTAGCATTTGACATATTTTATTAAATTATGTTTTTAAGATCAGCAGAAGGATACACTTCGTGATCTGTGAAAACAGAAAACTTGTTATCCCTTCTCTTCCTTTACGTGCATGGCATGATCAATCCCCTGTCAGAATACCAGAGCAATACTGGGGCACCACAAAAATCAGCGTCTGAAAAGGCTCTGGAGTTTCTGAAAGGTGAATTCAGAAAGGCAGAGAATCCTCATGCAGGTGATGCCCTCCCTGCCAGTATGGGCAGTGCTGGGACCTGCTATACCCTGCTCATCACCTCTCCTAAATTACAGCTTTCTGCTTGCACAGCTCTACCCCCTCACTCCTCTGTTTGCTCTTATATTACACACAGGATCAACATGGTAGCACTGTGCACGATGCCCCAGCGCTCTGAGCATCCTGTTGAATAACAGCCTTGGTTATTCCTTTCTAATTTTTGTTATTTCTGCACTTTGAAAAACTCTCCCAGCCAGGCAGAACGGTGACATAAGCCACTGTGATCAGTGCTGCTGCTCAGCGCTGGGCTCTGTTGCCTATTACCATGGATAGGAGAGCAGCTGAAGACTGGCCAAGACTTTCTCTGGTGGCATCTTTCCTCCCAAAGGAAAGAAGTAAAGCATATCCAGTGATTCTTGCAGGAATGTTTCTGAAGCAAACCATTTTTTCAGTCTTCTGACAAGTAAAAATAGTGATTTAAGGCAGCAGGATCCAGGTAAGTAATCGGTACTGTTCTTCACCAACTAAGAAGCTGAAGTTGCTGACTTTCTTCATTGCAAACACAGTCATGTGCAGCTCTGGGATCAGTCTGTGAATCATCTTCTTAAATATGAAAACCTTTTTGCCCTCCCTGCAACTTATGACTTTTTCCCTCAATTACCTCATTTCTCCAAATTCACCTCCATTTTGAACACGGCATCTGTTCTTTTTCCTACTGGCTTCCAGAGAGGGCATTGTCACAGGCCTGGAGACTTGATCTGCGTTGCATTTTCACAGAATCATAGAATCATTAAGGTTGGAAAAGACCTCTAAGATCATCTGGTTCAATCATCCATCTAACACCAATACTGCCCACTGACCCACATCCCCTGGTGCCACATCTCCGTGCTTCTGGAACACCTCCAGGGCAGTGACTCCACCACATCCCTGGGCAGCCTGTGTCAGTGCCTGGCCACTCTTTCAGAGAACTTTTTCCTAACGTCCATCCACTTGCCAATAGCAGTTTTTACTGCCCATGGGATGTGCAGAAGCTTGGAATTCAGCTGGTTCCTTGAACATGGTCAGAGCCAGAGCCTCCTCCTGAGATGTACAAGCCTGTTCCTAGCAGGGAAAGCAACTCCTAGCAATTCCCAACATAAAGGAAATCTAAAGAAGCACACTGAGGCTCATCCTTCATCTTCCCAACGTGCTGGCTGGCAAGACTTTGTCAAGGGGTGGCAGATACACACTGCCATGGCTGCAATTCCTCCAGAAGATACAGGCTCAACACGTCCAGCCTGTTTTGGAGCACATTGGATCATTGGGTCTGACTGCCAGACTGGTCACAATGCCCACAGTGGTCTTGGGATGCTCAAGGGAGAGCACTGAGAGCCTGCAGAAAAAGGCACTCAGGCCATATCACTGTAACCATCCAGCACCCATTTACCTTTAGCTCAATGTCATGAGCATTTTGATAAAGAGAACTGCCAGACAGACAATTTTTGTGCTACAAATTTTTGTTAGTGCAATGTCACTCCAAACAGTTGTCCTTTCCTTGTATCTCTTCCCATTAAAGCATGCAGTCTTCTTGGCTCTCAGCCTTGCTCTCTTGCCCTAAGCATTAACATAAATAGTGAGTAAAGCAGAAAATATAACTGCACCTCCCTTCTGGTTGTGTTCTTCATTGTCAGGGCTGGTATGAGTTGCTGGTACTGGGGAGCTGGGCATTTTCACTGCCTTGCTCTTCATCAAGTAGAAGGCTAACAAAACTCCCTGGAAACGTGTAAGAGGACAAGTTGTAATGTGAGCCTAGAGCTGACATCTTGCAAATGACTCTCATGTTCAGAGCAAGCTGAACAAAATCCTGGACTTGTCTCTGACCATAATATGAGTTTTATACTTCATTTACAGTGTGTGTGGCTGCATGTGAGTATGAGAGAGAGAAGTAGTGCACATTATCTGTGTTGATCTACAATGAATATTATAAATCTTTTTTTTGAAGGCCTTATTATGACAAGAAGCCAAAATGGTCAGGTTAGAAGAAAGAGAGAAATGTGCATTTCTGCTGATGGCAAAAGTACCTGTGCAGTGCTGCTTGGCACTTGACTGGCTTCAGTGCTTTCAGATTGGTGGGGCTCTTCAGATATTTCCATGCTCTATCCATTTATCAGCTAGGCAGAGCTGGCTGATCTCAGGTGTGCAGAATGGAGAAGGGTCTCAGGGCTCTGTTTTGGTGGCAACAACACACCCAGTGTTGATGGTGGGTGCAGAGCTCCTGTTGCAGCAAGGAACTGAAGGTACCTGTCCTCCCCAACCTCAGTGAAAATCACCAGGGCTCATCTTGGCTTCATTCTTACCCATACTTAAAGCCACTTTAATGGGGTGGATGAAATGTACATAAATATAGATGTAAATCTCTAGTTAAGTCTCTTTAGGCTACCTTTATAGTTAAAAGAAGCAGTTGCTTTTTACAGTGCTGCTCACCTCATTCCAATGCAGTGCTTCAAATAAATTAGAGGGGTTGTACTCAAAAGCATCTCCTTCACTCTGCTAATTAACAAATGGGCAAAGAGCAACTAACCTACATGGAGACACTTAAAGCCAGGCTGAGATGCTGTCCAACATGCTTCACAACAGCTCTCCCTTAGTGCCAGCAGAGGCCTTGTCATTCTGAGCCCTGCAGGGAACTCAGTGTGTGGGAAATGGGAATGCTTTGGTCTCCTTCAGCACAAGGAGATCCTTCAGGTAATGGCACGTCCACAGCCAAGGGCTGCAGGACATCTCTTGCTCTCAGCCTGCCTTCCCTAGGAGAAATGCTCCTGTCAGAGCTGCTGCAGACCAGAACCATCCCCTTCCTCTGGGACCTGCAGCACAACTTAGTGTCTTGGTTGACAGTGCTGAGCTGATCTTTAATTCTCTGGTGGGTTTGTGCACTCGTGTGCATTTCCAACAACATCTAAAAAAGGGTCTGTTTTGCTTCTAGGTTCTGCCTAGCACCAGCCATGCCAACATCCCACGAGAAAAGCTGTTCTCGCTGTACTTTTGGAAGCTGGGACTTCCAAAATGAGAAGCTGAGCACTGAAGTTTTCAGACCCATGGTTTTGTGTCTGGGGTGGTTCTCCCCAGTGCTGATGCAACAGTGACAGCTGGGGTACAGCTCCATCCATCCATGGATAGAAGCATCCCTTCTTCCCTGCTGCTTGCTTGGCTTGGTTTGAAGACTGTTGCTGCTTGCCTCCCTCCTGCAGGCTTCTTAATATTCATCCATAATCTTCTGCATTTTTTTCTGCAGTATTTAGCAGCGGATGAGTGTGCTGGATGCAGTGTTTGAATCCCATTAATTAGCCAGGCTAAGTTTTGCACTTTGCTTTATTGTAAGATGCTCCAGCACCTCTGCCTGATGCCCGTTCAGAGGCACCAGGTGTGGGAAAGCAGCAGGTGATGCACTCAAGCCCTGAGTTCCTCCATAGGTATCTCCCTGGATGATCTGTCTATGTGGTTGTTCCAGCCAGCAACGCTTCGAAGCACCATGAGTTCCTCTGGCAAAGAAAATCCTTCTCCTACGGAGTCTTAAAGTGGTTTCCTTAAGTAAATTTTCCATCTTATTAAACGTTCTTAGCAGTGGTAAGTGGTTCGGGCTGCATCCCATCTCCAATACTGATCACTTACACAGCGGTCTTGGGGCACTGCTGAGTGGGTGCTGCACCGAGCAACAGCTGCAAAGCAAAACGTTTCCTTTCCCATATCTCAGCCTGGAGCTCATCCAGTGGTGCTGCTCCACTGCTGACCAGCAGCTCACAGATTTGCCAGGAATCAATAGATTTCTGCACTGCGAATAAATACAGGCTTAAGCTTTGTAGGTGAAATTGTCTGCTATGTTCTTACACTGGGCAATAAAAGACAAAGTTGGCTATGTTTGACACAAATACTCCTTTTCATTTCCTGTAAGGCACTAGAGCTGAGCCATGGGTCTCACTTTCCTGATTGCTCCAAAGTGAAGCTCAGCCCAACTGCCGCCTTGTAGCCATGCAAGCCATCTAATGACAAAGCTGAGCTGAACACAGTCCAAGGAACTACAGGGAAACAAAAGGTTTTGCTCCACGCTAACTCTGTGGCACATCCAGCATCAGCCTGAGTTTTACAAAGGAAACGGGAAGAGAACTGTACAGAAACATCCTCACCTTCAAACTCTGTTTGGCAATTGCCGGAGTTTTCATTTAAACTCTCCTCCTCGTTGATAATGATGTTCTCGATGTCCTTCATCGTTAGGTGGTCCCGGAAGGCATGGTACAGGATGTGCTTCAGCTCTTCTAGCGTTATCCTCTGCATGTCGAACTGCAGGGAGAGGACTGTGTTAGGCAGGGCTGCTGGGATGAAAGCAGGTACGTGGGCACAGCCCTGTTCCTCACCCGTGGGTTTTTTTCCAATCTCATTTCAACACCTCAATATAGCTTTGCAAATTTTGCTCTTTGGGGTTCACTGGGCACAAGTAGTGTGAGTATTTCAAATGGACGTTGTTAGAGCTCTTGCCTGCTTACTTATTGCTGGTAGAGCTGTAGAGACAGAGCAGTCCACCCTCAGCCCTGGCCATCCCAGCAGACTAAATCCCTTAGAAATTCCCATCACTCTTATCATAGCATCATGGTATCATAAAGTTTGAAAAGACCTCTACGATCACCAAGTTCAACCCCAACCCCATCCCACCATGCCCATAACCACGTCTCTCAGTGCCACACCTCCACATTTCCTGAACACCTCCAGGGACGGTGACCCCATCACTCCCTGAGCAGCTGTGCCACTGCAGCACCATTCTTTTGGAGAAGAAATGGGGAGAAAAAATGTTTCCTAATACCCACGCTGAACCTCCCCTGGTGCAATTAAAGCTCATCACTTCTTGTCCTACCACTGTTTCCTACGAGCAGAGTTCGACCCCCACCTCATTCCCTGCCATGAGCCATGATTTTCTCTCTGCCTTGGTGTTCCTCACAACTCAACAGCACAAGCAGAGAACATTTCTCTCATAGAAATGTTGTTCCTGTGCACACCAAATAAAAGCTTAAGAGCCAGATTTTTCCTGCAGAGTATGTAAAACACTTTGCAGCAGAGGATCTTTGCACACATGTAAGGTCCACAGTAGTGATATCTGCTAATGGCACACAAGAGAGGGCATGCTCACTAGCTTAACTCTCCACTGGAGGAAAGGCGATGCAAACCTGTGCCCAATTCTGCAATTGAGAGCATGGCAACAGAGTGTGATCAGATTGCACAGCAGGCACGGTACATCATCAGTCCCCTCTCCTTTCCTCCTGGGCTTTAAGGACAGGACAAATCTTATCAGCTCTGTGCTGCTCAGTGCATTATCTAAGGTCATCTTCCTTGACCACTGCTGCCCACCCCACTGCACAGAAGTAAAATCATTAGTCCTCAAAGTGAGAGAAATACGTGCACTGGGATTAAACCCAAACCCTGACATGTTTATGTATTTCTGTGTGTTCACAAGCAGAGTTGCATGCATGCATATGTATTTACCCATTTAGCAGCACTGATTCCTACCGTTCTATTTGTTTATTTCATGCACTGATTTAAAACCTGGAGCAGAAAGTCTGCGGAAAAGTGGAGAGTTGGGGCACGGCGGGCAAAGTTCCCATTTTTTGCCTCAGCTGAGTTCACTGTAACCCTGGTTTGGTGGGTTTTGGTTGTTCTGCTGCTCTCCTTGTTCCTCAGGGACTCAACATTCAGCTATAAATAGTGAGCACACTGCAATCACCAGCAGCCCCTTGCTGCACTTCACAGCTGAATTGCAAATCCCCCCATATTCACTCACAGATTTCCAGCTTGCTTTGCTGCGCACGAGGAAATCTCATCCCTCATACCTCACTTTCTTTAATGACAAAAGAGCAGGTAAAATGTACAGCCTCATACTTCTCAACTGTGATTAGGGAAAGCATCTCTCCTGGCAAGTAATGGTGTGGAAATTGGGGTCGGTGAGTGCAGTTGTCTGACAGCAATGTCAGGAGCTGTCATTAACAAAGGTTTGCAGAGTGCCATGGGGCTGCCTGGGGTTTGCAGCCCTCCCAGTTGGTTGCTGCAATGCTGATTACACAGCAGTGCTGTGGATGTGTACCTGTGGGGAAAGCAATGCTTTCTCATGTACCATCCAGTCTTTTTCTCCTGCAAGGTTTTTCTCTTGTGGGAACTCAAGCCTGAACTTGAGCCTTGGTGTATTCCCGAGTCCACCACATGCTAAAAGCCATAATTTGCCCTAGCTGTCCCTTCCTATCAGCAGGAGCAGCCTATCTGCAGCACTGGGGTTATCCTGTCCTGTCTCTACAGAGTGTAATCACAGAATTATAGAATGTCTGGGTTGAAAAGAATCTCAAAGCCTATCCAGTTCCAGCCCCTGCTGTGCGCTGGGTGCCCCCACCAGCTCAGGCTGCCCAGGGTCCATCCATAGACTGGGGCACCTCCAGGGATGGGGCTGTTCAACCCATGCTGGACTTTTCTGTAGTCAATACAAACTTCTTGCTGTAGTTTATGGATTTATTTCTATCCCTCTCTGGAGAATTGTCTTTCTAGAAGTTGTCACCAATCTGGATGGATGCTCGCATGGGAGAGCTCAAGGCCCAGAGCAGCATCTCTGTGAGCTCATGTTTCTTTGTGTCCTTGTTAGAGGACTTCTGCAGGTATGTGTGAGCCTTCTTTAGACTTGCTGGAAGTGCTCTAAGACTTCTTATGGGCAGTGCAGTTGAGCACAAGGGATCTCCTGTATGTGGTGCATCTTGGCCACATGGAGAGCAAAACAGATAGACCATCCCCGGTGTAGAGATATGCCACTTCTTTTCTTTTCCCCCTAGGGGGTTTTTCAGGTCTCCCTTTACGGCAGTATCACTTCCAACATGATGTTACAGCTTACTGTGGTGCTTATCTGTTGCCTTGCTTCAGGCTACCTAGATTACAAACACAATCATGGGCATCTGCTTATCTTAACAATGTGGAAACATTAATGACTTGTGGGGTTTGAGGCCCTCCTGTACCAGTTAATCTGTCTAGTGGGAAATAATCCTCCTCTTGGAAGATACACAACTGTTGCTGTGTCTCCAGTTCTTACTTTTAAGCTTGATGCTGATAGAGGGAGAAATTATTAATTGTTCCATTGCCACCTTGTCTTCTAGAAAGAGGAAATGTATTAGGAAAAACTTCTTCTCCAAAAGATCAGTGATGCAGTGGCACAGCTGCCCAGGAGGGTGGTGGGGTCACCACCCCTGAAGGCATTCCAGAACCATGGAGATGTGGCACTGAGGGACTTGGGTAGTGGGCATGGTGAGGGTGGGCTGGCGTTGGACTTGGGGATCTTAGAGGTCTTTTCTAACCTTAATGATTCTATGATCCCAGATGGGGGTCACTGACAGCAACACTTATTGGCTCCTGCCCTGAGTGCCTGACCTGCTGACACAAGTATTTCCTTGCTCCTGCTTTGCTCTGTGCTCCAGAACTTGCATGCAGGAGGTGTATCCTCCATTAGATACCTATCAGCACGGGAGTTCGTTCAGACTGGGCATGAGCTCAATGCAGCCAGAGACATCACTGTGCATCGGGTTTGGACTCCCAAGTAATTTCTTCTATTATCCTTGCTCTCCAATCTGGCAGTTTCCCTGATTCACTTTTCAATTACTCTGGCTTTTTATTGTTATAATGACAGTAACCAGGGAGCAACTCGTAACTTTTATTGGCTCTGCTGAGAAGAACTGTGACTGCTGCAAGCTTAAAACTTTCTATAGGATTTATAATTAGGAGAAATCAATGATGTTTCTTCTAAGTTGGTGCTCTTGGAATACACTGGAAGCAATGATATAGAAACAAACTGTTCCTAACAACACTCAATGAGCCAAGTGATGCAGTGAGAACCCTGAACGCTACACTGGTTTGTATGTTTGGCACCAGGAGTTGCCCACTGCAGTTTCTGGTAGACTTAAGTCTCTGTAACCATCAGAAATACCTCTGATATTATTGGTTCAGAATGCACAGAGCATGTGAGTGCTTGCAGCACACTGTGCAGATGTTCCTTCAGCCAGACAGGCTTTGTGCTTATAAACCATTGCTCTGGCGGTTTCCTCTTGGACCAACAACTCCTGCTACAAGTTTCCCACAATATATTTTATCTATTTTTCTAACAAAGAGAATGTGCTTCTTAAGGATGAACACTGTGCACCCAAATGTTGCAGTGTCTCTCGTGATCCCCCAGGACAGAGGATAGAGCCATTTCCAAACTTGCAACACGCATCTCGTGTTAGAGCAGAAATGTCATTTTCTGTGTCTCCTCAAATCACTGCTATCTTAGGAACAACCCTAATTTCCTCTACCCACCCTGCTGCTGGCCCACACACCCACAGAAGGAGGGGTGGGAGTCCTGCAGCAGCAGCAGCAATGAAAGCACAGGATGTATTTTGATTGATGAATCTGTGATTCCATGATTCTGTGATTTTGCTCTTCTCCACACACACATCCAGTTGAGGGTGGCTGATTCTATACCATAAGCTGAAGGATCCTCCTGGCTCCTCCTTCTTGCCCTTCTCGAAGGCTATAGTGATGTTGACTATTGTCCAAGACCTTTCAAAGATGATAGAGCAGTTTGGCAATCAATTCCCTGCCCCTGCTTGAGCTGTCACTCTAGCAGCAGGATAAGCCCCAGGCCACCTTGCCCTGCATCCATTCCAACACCTGGGGGCTTTCAACAGATCCTCCAGCCCTACCTTGGGGTTAGGGTCACTATCACCTTGGGTACCACTTGCTTTCAGGAATAACCAGCTTCCCTGATGCTGCACCTGAGCATCTCGCTGACTGGGGAGAGGGAATGGCTAACAAGCTCATTTCCATAGTAACAGCCTCATTACTGCAATGGCTACTGCTAATGGGAGATTACTCCATTCTTCCCAGCAGCTTTGTCAGCAGGGAATTGCACATATATTGACAAATTAAAATCAGATTTAAGAGCATATTCACAGCACCCTTAACCCCAAGCTCCTGGCTTAAGTTTCTGCCTCAAAATCATGCAGCATTCCAATCCAATCTGGTCTGTGAATACCTCCTGTGTGTCCCCCCCAGTAACCCTCTGAGCTGTGCAGGGACACAGAGGAGTGTGGCTGGGATGTTTGCAGCTCTGTGAGAGGCACCACGTCCTGCGGGTTACAAGATGTTTGGTGTATGAGCCACAACGTGCTTTTTTTACCAGTTTGGCTGTTGCATGCCCAGGCAGAACAGGACCATGCTAAAGAGCAGTTGTTTCTGTGCAGCCCAGAAGCAAGAAACCACTTGCTGTGAAGAGGCCACAGAGGCTT